AGGGGTAAGGGGGGAGAGGTAGAATGACGGATGAGTTTGCTGGATTCTGTTATGGACCCCAGATGATGAGGGAGGCTGTGTGCGTGCGTGCGTGCGTTGGCTTCCCAGTGTATGTGGCTGTTTCCCTGGAAGCGAGGTGGGGGGGGAGGGGATGGGAGATGAATATGGAGAGAGAGAGAGAGAGAGAGAGAGAGAGAGAGAGAGAGAGAGAGAGAGAGAGAGAGAGAGAGAGAGAGAGAGAGAGAGAGAGAGAGAGAGAGAGAGAGAGAGAGAGAGAGAGAGAGAGAGAGAGAGAGAGTGAGAGAGAGTGAGAGAGAGTAGAGAGAGAGGAGAGAGAGGAGAGAGAGGAGAGAGAGCGAGAGAGAGAGAGAGAGAGGAGAGAGGAGAGAGAGAGAGAGAGAAGAGAGAGAGAGAGAGAGAGAGAGAGAGAGAGAGAGAGAGAGAGAGAGAGAGAGAGAGAGAGAGAGAGAGAGAGAGAGAGGAGAGAGAGGAGAGAGAGGAGAGAGAGAGAGAGAGAGAGAGAGAGAGAGAGAGAGAGAGAGAGAGAGAGAGAGAGAGAGAGAGAGAGAGAGAGAGAGAGAGAGAGGAGAGAGAGGAGAGAGAGAGAGAGAGAGAGAGAGAGAGAGAGAGAGAGAGAGAGAGAGAGAGAGAGAGAGAGAGAGAGAGAGAGAGAGAGAGAGAGAGAGGAGAAAAGAAGAGAAGAGAGGGTGAGGATGGGGAGTAAGGGAAAAATGGAGGGAGAGACAGAAAAAAAAACGAGGGAGAAAAAAAGAAAGGGGAATAACATAAAAAAACAGTAATCCCTATAATACACCAATCAAAACAATCGACAAGCAACATCCCAATTCCAAAGAACACGCTGACCTCCTCATCCAATCGACTCTATCAATTCTACTGACATCCGTCTACACATCTTCCCATATCTATCCGACCTCCCTCTCTCTTCCATTTCCGTCTTTCTCTCTCCTCTCCGCTCGACCCCTCTTCCCTGTTTCAGCGATATTCTTCCAATTGATATATGGAGATTTCGCAAATCTCTCAAGACTCCCACCTCAAAAAAAAAAAAAAAAAGAAAACAAAATGAAAAGACGAGGAAATTGAAATGTCATATATATATCGAGCAATCAGCACACACGCCCGATCAAAAACAGTTGTCAAATAAGGGATAGGAAAGGGTTCTCTTTCTCTTTCTCTCTTTCTCTCTTTCTCGCTCTCTTTCTCTTTCTCCTTCTCTTTATCTTCCTCTTTCTCTATCTCGCTCTCCCTCCCCCTCTTCCTCTGTGCCCTTCCCTCTCTCTTTTTCTCCCTCCCTCTCTTTGTCGAAACATCTATTAGAAGAAGCAAACGGGAAACGACATCAAATAAAGATCAAAACCAGGCAAAAAATACGGCACGAATAACACCGTAGGCCGGGAGGAGGATGACAAAACTCACCGACACAACAAAAGGAACAACAATGACCACGACATGAATAAACGAAGGAAGAGAAAAAGGGGAGGATAATAGAGATGGTTGGGGAAGAAGTGGGAATGTGGTAGGAGGAAGGAAGGAAGGAGGGAGGGAGGGAGGGAGGGAGGGAGGGAGGGAGGGAGGGAGGGAGGGAGGGAGGGAGGGAGGGAGGGAGGGAGGGAGAGGAGTGGGAAGAAAGAAAGAGAAGGGAGAAGAAGCATTAGTATGAGGAAGGGGTGCGGAGGAAGAGGGAAAGAGAAGATGAAGAAGAAAGGGAGGAGGAAGAGGAAGAGGAGGAGTTGGAGGAAGGGAAGAGGAAAAGGAGGAGGAAGGGAAGGGGAAAAGATGGAAGAAGGGAAGAAGAAGAGAAAAAGGAGGAGGAGGAAAGAAAGATGAAAATAGAATTGAAGGAACAAAAAGAGAAAGAGAGAGAGAGAACAAGCAAATGAAGAGGAGGAGGAGGACGAGGAAGGGAAGGGGAAAAAGGTGGACTTAGATCCTTGCCGATGTTTACCCTGAGGACAGAGTGCAGAAAAGTGTACATACGTGTGTGTGAAGCTTGTCTGTTACGAGCTGTCAGAGAGGGCTGTTTGGAAGACCTGCTAGCGAGAGATGTATATTGAAGCTGTCTGTAGCGAGAAGAGCGGGGCGTTATGGGGGGGGGGGGGGTAGTAGTGGGAGGGAATAGGGAATATGGAATTGGGAATGGGGAAAGGGGCAAGGGAGACGGACTGGAGGAGAAGGGGGAACAGCAGAATTAAATTCACAGAGAGGGATGGGGAAGAGGAAGAAGGAATGGGGGTGGAGGGGAGAGGGATTGAGGGGAAAAGGAAAAGAGGGGGGGGGGCAAGAAACAGGGAATCAAGGGAAAGAAAGAGAGAGGAACGGGAGAGGAGGAACACGAAAGGAAGGACGGAGAGAGAAGGTAAGAGTTATGATCGAGGGAAAGTGGAGGGAAGGGAAGACACCGCAAGGAAAAAGGAAGAAAGAAGAGAGAGAGAGAAGAGAAGGAGAGAAAGGGAGAGGGCGTGGTAAAACCGCTCTTCCATCTGATTGGTGGATCGAGTACCGACTGCACACACGTGACACATGCACCCATTCAGACACACTTAACCCGACACACACTTTAACATGCACGCACATACCTATGCAAACACACCGGGGGGGTAATGTATTTATCGAAGTCTTGCTCGCATATGTATGCCCGCGAGTATGCCTGCGCGCATGCATGTATTCCCCGCTTGCATGTGACCGCGTATGCTACCATTCAGCATACAACCAAAAGCAAAACCCGGCACCGCATACTTTGGCCATCGCTCGCTCACACCAAAACCAGTTATATGCAATCAACACATCACACGAGGGATAGAGGGGAAGGGGGAAGGGGGAGGGGGGGAGGGGGAGGTGGAATGGCATTCGCTCCGGATTTGAGATGGATGGGAGGGATGGAAGGGGAATGAGGGAGAGGGGGGAAGGGGAATGATAGATACGGGAAAAGGGGAATGAGGGGCAAGGGACAACGGAAGAAGGGAAGAGGGAAAGAGGGAGATAGATGGAAGAGGTGGAGGAGGCAAGGGGGAAAGGGGGAATGAGGAAGAGGAAAAGGGAAAGGGGAAAAGGACAATGGGGAAAGAGGGAGGGGGAAAGGAAAAGAGAGGAGAGGAGGGAAAGAGAAAGAGGAAAAAGGAGAGGGGAATAAGAAAAGGGGGAAAGAGGTACATGGATGGAGGGGGAAAAGGGGGCAAGGGAGAGGAGAAGAGGAAAAGAGAGAGAGGGAAAAGGGGAAAGAATGAGATAGATGGAAGGGACGGAGGGGTAAGCGGGAGAGGAAAAGAGGGAGAGGGAGAGGGAAAGAGGAAAAGAGGGAGAGGGGAAAAGGGTGTGACCGACTTGCACTGATCACAAGAGAAGCAGATACTTTGCTTAAACCAGGTGGAAAAAGAGGATAACAATGGTAATAGTAAATGTTGATAATTATGCTGAAAACAAAAATAATAACAATAACAATGATAGTAATAAAAATAATAACTAAATTAATAATAATTATAATAACACTAAGAGTAATAATAATAATAACTATTAAAAATATCATAATAATATTAAAACAACAGTATCAACAACAACAACAAAACAAAACAACAATAATAATAACAATAATATGAATAATGGTAATGACAATAATAATAATAATAATAATAATAATAATAATAATAATAACAACAATAACAATAACAATAATAATGATAAAAACTAATAATGATAATAATAATAGAATAATAAAAATAGTGATAATAATAACACAATAATAATAATAACGGTGATGACAATAGCAGTAATAACAATATTAAAGTAATAATAGTAATGATGATAATAATGATGATAATAATATCATTATTACCATTAATGTTTTCATTGTCATTATAATTTCTATTATCGTGAATACTATCATTATATCATTACAATACCAGATATTAATGATAATGATAAAGATACTAATAATGATAATGATGATGATAAATAATAATAATAATAATAATAATAATAATAATAATAATAATAATAATAATAATAATAATAATAATAACAATAATAATAACTGTAATGATAATAATAATAATAATAATAATAACAATAACAACAAAACAACAACAATAACAATAATAATAATAATAATAATAATAATAATAATAATAATAATAATAATAATAATAATAATAATAATAATAATAACAATAATAATAATAATAATAATAATAATAATAATAACAATAACAATAACAACAACAACAAAATATCTTTATAGGCCTACCCCCTCCCCCCCCACCGGCCTAAACAAAAGCAAATGTCGAGCGCAGAAACAAATACACATGTTCTGGATTCAGCAAGCACACTTTTTTCGCCAACATCTGCTTTCCTCGTTTCACCTTTGCTCGGATAGTTTTCGAAATGCGTGTAACTTCTAAAAAATGTAACTGTTGTGTACTACTGTTGTTGGTGTTGTTGTTGTTGTTGTTGTTGTTGTTGTTGTTGTTGTTGTTGTTGTTGTTGTTGTTGTTGTTGTTGTTGTTGTTGCTGGTGTTATTGTTATTGGTATTACTATTAGTAGTAATGTTATTATTATATTGTCATTGTTAATACTATTATCATTATGATTCATCCATCATTTATTACTATCATCATCATTGGTATCAACATTGTTATTATCAATATTATAATTGTTATGATTAATATGACCATGATAATCATCATCATTACCGGCGATTTCCAATACACAGAAAAAAAACATAATATTGCAAAGCGCAATACTTCGAAGTACTCTTGCAGTTGCAATAAAGCTCGCGTGGTTGCCCCCCCCCCAAAAAAAAAAAAAAAAAAAAATCTAATTACACTCCCTCTTTACTTGTCATTCTAATGTATTCCAAAAGGTCCTAGTCTCCTCTTCCATAAAAAAGGGAAACAAAATAGAATAAAAAAAAAACGTATCGATATCTGTATCTGCAAAGCCGTTTCGTTAATAATGGAACAGGTAAGGCTAGCGGCCCGTGACTTACCTGTTATTGTGTCCTGAGGCCGAGTGGGCTGCTGTCCGTTCTTTTTTTAATTCTTTGCGGGGGAAAATAGATATTTCTGCTCTTTCTTTTTCTTTCTTTCTTTCTTTCCTTTCTTGACTGAATATTTTAAATGGATATTATTTTTTTGGTATGCGTGGTATGCGCAGTGACTTTTTTTCTGTTCTGTTCGCGACAGATGATTGATGTTTGGCAATTAAATCACTATAATCACTTGTTTTAATAAAATTAGTAAGAAGTTTTTTTTCCTCTTCTTTACATATATTTTATCTCTTCTTCTTTATTTTCTCACAGAAGAAAATCAAACGCTCCAAAAAGGAAATCTACAGTAAGAATAGATCTTCTTAAGCCATTCTCGAAAGACACTCAAAAAGGTCTCTGAAGCACCATCACTTAGCACACATCGGCGAGAGCGAATCGAAGAAACAATTTCAAAAAAAGAAAAGAAAAAAAAAATCAAAACCCAAAAGAAATCACCATTTCGAAAGCCCCAAAAAAAAGAAAAAAATAATTATTATAATGCGATCGAGCTGTCGGTCTAAAAACGTGCGCGCGTGGAGACTCCCCTCACTGAGTCGGCGGGCGAGAGCAGCGCGCATGCACCTCCCCTCACCACGGCGCTCGGCGGGCAACTGACTCCCTTTTCCTTGCCTGTCTCGTGGCCTCTCTTGGATGGGGAGGGGGGGGGGGTCGGAGGGGAGCGTGACCTCCCCAACCTCCCTTACCTCTCCATGCCCTTCCTTTTGTCCTGGCCTTTGGTCGTGATTTTCCCCCCTTTTTTCTATAATCGGTTTGTTTACATTTCATATACATATATATCTCCTTTTTTTCTCTATTTCTTTTTCTTTCTTTTTTTCTCTTTCTCTCTCTCCCCCCCCCTCTCTCTCTCTCTCTCTCTCTCTCTCTCCTCTCTCTCTCTCTCTCTCTCCTCTCTCTCTCTCTCCTCTCTCTCTCTCTCTCTCTCTCTCTCTCTCTCTCTCTCCTCTCTCTCTCTCTCTCCTCTCTCTCTCTCTCTCCTCTCTCTCTCTCTCTCCTCTCTCTCTCTCTCTCCTCTCTCTCTCTCTCTCTCTCTCTCCTCTCTCTCTCTCTCCTCTCTCTCTCTCTCCTCTCTCTCTCTCTCCTCTCTCTCTCTCTCCTCTCTCTCTCTCTCTCTCTCTCTCTCTCCTCTCTCTCTCTCTCTCTCTCTCTCTCTCTCTCTCTCTCTCTCTCTCTCTCTCTCTCTCTCTCTCTCTCTCTCTCTCTCTCTTTCTTTCTCTTCTCTCTCTCCCCCCCCCTCTCTCTCTCTCTCTCTCTCTCTCTCTCTCTCTCTCTCTCTCTCTCTCTCTCTCTCTCCCCCCCTCTCTCTCTCTCTCGTTAAAACTTCCACGACACGAATCATAACATATACCAGAAAGCAAAATATTCTATTACATATGTATGTACGAAAATAGAATATAAGAAAAAATAATATCATTTCAAGCTTCTATTCTTTATCATTTCATTCCTTTTTCTCTCTCCCTTTCTCTCTCCTGGTTTTTATTATTATCATTCATTTACGCGTCGAGGTTATGCAAAGAGAAAACGGGATATTAAGAAGACTCGGGGAAGAGAGAGGTGGGAGAAGGGGGGGGGGGGGGAGAAGGAGAGGGGGAGGGGATGCCAGAGAGAGGTGGGAGAGGGTGGGGGGGGGAAAGGAGAGGGGGAGGGGATGCCAGAGAGAGAGAGGGGAGGGGGAAGGGGAGAGGAGAAAGGAAGGGGAGAAGAGGGGATGAGGGAAGGAGGAAAAGGAGAGGGGGGAGGAAATACCAGGAAGAGAGAGAGAGGGGGAGGTGAGGAGGAGGAAGGGGACAGAAGAGGAGGGAGGAAAAGGAGAGAGGAAAAGGACAGGGGAGGGGGAAGAGACCAGGAGAACGGATAGGGGGAAGGGGAAGAGGGGACACCAGGGGGGGGAGAGGGTTAGGAAGGGGGAGGGATAAGAACACAGGAGAGGGGATAGGGGGAGAGGGCAGAGGGGGGGGGGGGGGGGTAGGGAGGATCGCGCCAACAAAATTATGAGCGAGACGACAACTTGGGACATGGAATAGTAATATTTGCGTTCTTTCCTGAACCGGGAGGTGGAGGGAACCGAGAGAACGCGGGAGCCACAGTATATTGTAAAACATTCTGTATCGAGGAGATGCGAGAGAGAGAGAAAAAAAGAAGAGAGAGAAAAATAATAATATGATCTCTGCTTTCTGTGTTGTGGAAGAACATTTGAAGGCTTCTCTCTCTCTCTCTCTCTCTTTCTCTATCTATCTCTCTCTCCCTCCCTCTCTTGTCTCTCTCTTGCCTCTCTCTCTCTCTCTCTCGCTCTTTCGCTATCACTTGCTTTTTCACTCTCTCTCTCTCTACTCTCTACTCTCTTCTCATTACTCATTACTCTACTCTCTACTCATTACTCACTACTCACTTCTCATTACTCATTACTCTACTCTCTACTCATTACTCACTACTCACTTCTCATTACTCATTACTCTACTCTCTACTCCTTACTCTACTCTCTACTCATTACTCATTACTCACTACTCACTTCTCATTACTCTACTCTCTACTCATTACTCATTATTCTACTCTCTATTCATTACTCACTACTCTCTACTCTCTTCTCATTACTCATTACTCTACTCTCTACTCATTACTCTACTCTCTACTCATTACTCATTACTCACTACTCTCTTCTCATTACTCTACTCTCTACTCATTACTCTACTCTCTACTCATTACTCATTACTCACTACTCACTACTCTCTACTCTCTTCTCTCTCTCTCTCTCGCTCTTTCGCTATTACTTGCTTTTTCACTCTCTCTCTAATGACAAATTCGCACACAGATCAATATATATTCTTAGGGGCGCCGGAAATTAAATGAAAACCCGAAACAACAAGGGATTAAAAAAAACACGAAAGTAAAGGGAACAAAAGTATGAATAATCAACGGCCGCATTCAAATTTAAATCTCCCGCCAAAAAGGGGGAATGGAGCCCACCGACCGCAATCTATTAGTTTACGCTTAGAATATTTGCTTATAGATCAATCTGCCTCTAGTTGACACATGCACGGCGGAGATACAGAGCAATAACCACTGGCTATTCTATGCTATAGGAATGCATATTGCCATGCGGGTAAAAGGTATCGATGATAAAAGAAAATAGAGAGAAAAAAAAAAGATTAATTTAATTTTCTCACTCGTCGGGAAACTCGGTGAGACTTATTCTAATTACGGGAAGAGAGGCAAGATAGAAAAAAGATAGAGAAAGGAGAGGATGAAAAAAAAAGTTAGAACACATTCCTAGCCATTTCACACAACGGATTCACTACACAACAAATGTCTCGCTATTCCACCTAACGGTCAAAATAACGAGTGATAGAAGGGCGCCATTATAAAACCACTGCATGTATTCATCCGAGGAAAACCATGTCATAAAAAAGGGGGAAGAGAGAGAGACAGAGAGAGAGAGAGAGAGAGAGAGAGAGAGAGAGAGAGAGAGAGAGAGAGAGAGAGAGAGAGAGAGAGAGAGAGAGAGGAAGAAAGAGAGAGAGAGAGAGGAAGAAAGAGAGAGAGAGAGAGGAAGAAGAGAGAGAGAGAGAGAGGAAGAGAGAGAGAGAGAGAGAGAGAGAGAGAGAGAGAGAGAGAGAGAGAGAGAGAGAGAGAGAGAGAGAGAGAGAGAGAGACAGACAGACAGAGACAACAGAAAACGAAAACAAGAAACGAAAAAAAAGTCGCGGAACGAGGCCATAATAGCAGATGCTTCCAATATGTCTGTTCTGGTGCAATGAACAGATTGCCTTTTCCACCCATTGTTTCAATTCTGTTGCTCTCGTGCATGGCGGTATGCGAGCATTGTGCATTGCTTTTGTGGTTATGTCGTGTGATTGAGTGCGAGAGTAGTTAGTTACTCCGAGTTTGTGTGTGTGTGGAGGGAGGGTGTAGAGAGGGGAGATGGTGAGGGTGTGGGAAGTGGGCGTGAGGGTAAGGGTGTGTATGGGGGGTGAAGGTGTGGGAGAGGAGAGAGGGTGTGTGTGGTGAAGGTGAAGGTAAGCGCGCGCGGGCGCGTGCGAGTGCGTGTGTGTGAGTATGAGTGTGAATGCGCGTGTGCGTGTCTGTGTGAGTGTGCGCGTGCGTTTACATGTGCTTGTGCGTGAGTGAATATGAGTGCGATTGTGAACATATGTATGTATATATGTGACCACTTGTTTGCGTGAAAGAGTATGTAAGTGAATTCTAATGGAGAGGGAACTACACCCCATATGCTACACAGACTACCATCAATAAAAGCAATTTTGTATTTAAAAAGCCCCCAACACACAGAGGCATACTTCGTTCAACACATTCCATATTTTTGCCCCATGCAACACAGTGCAGTTTATTACTCAGTATAAGAATACAGTTTTTTATACTGAGTGCCCTTAGGCGTTCGATAAGAGGCATGTTATTATCAATATCATCGGTGTCATCACTGCAATTATCTTATCACTATGACAACATTGACAGTGCTTGTGATGAAAAAAAAGAATTATAAAAACAGTGATAGCATTGCATTAGTTATAACTTTTACCTCTATCATAAGAATTATTCCAGCAAAAAATAACAATAATAATGTTAACAGCAATAATACTGATATTAACGATGAGAATTCCTTAAATAGTAATCAATGATAGTTATGATGATGGTGGTTCTGATAGATATAATGAAAATACTAATAATAACAAGGATAATAATAATGATAATAGTAACAACAATGGTAATGATAATAATGATACAATAATAATAATAATAACAAGGATAATAATAATGATAATGATAATAATAATGATAATGATAATAACAAGGGTAATAACAATAATGATAATTACAATAACAATAACAATAATAATAATAATAATAATATTGGTGATGACGATGCTGATGCTAATGCCAATGCTAACTCTAATGCTGATGATGATATCATAAGCTGCTGTAATGGCAATAAGTACCTATAGCTAATTCAACTACTACCCGCCATAACTGCATTTATTACTCAGCATATCAACAAAAAGGAACAATATAACTCATTACTTGCATGCAATACTTTGAGGACATATATATATATATATATATATATATATATATATATATATATATATATATATATATATATATATATATATATATATATATATATATATATATATATATAT